GGAGGCGGAGGTTGCGGTGAGCCGAGATCGCGCCATTGCACTCCAGCCTGGGTAACAAGAGCGAAACTCCGTCTCAAAAACAAACAAAAAAAAAAAGATAATCTTTATCATTCAAACCCTGCCTCCTAAAAAACAGCTTGTCAAGGAAATAGAAAAGGTATGAACAACATGGACTGGGAAGATGTGGCTTCTTTAAATGGTAACAGCCTTTTTATGAGGTCATGAAAGAGGCCAATGACCCCTGAAAAACCCAGCTGCAGGGGAGAAAACCACTGGGTACCACCCAGCCAAAGAATCAGAGACAACCAGAAACAAAATAAGGGCTCCTGCAAGACCGTGATTTTTATCACCCTTGGCTCCACTATTGAAACGTAAACTTCTTTTTGACAAACTATGTTGTCCCAAGAGCGGATCTCATTGAGTTGGGGCAGCAAGCTTATCTTGCAATTTTGGGGAAGGTGGGTGGGAGGGGGGGAAGAGAATGTAGTCCATTCCATTAAATAGGTCCACATTCAAATATGGACCTCAAAGATCTCAGGAAATTAATTTCTCTTTTTTTGTAACAGTATTAAATGCATCAATTCCATTTTTAATGCTTTTATCATACAAAAATATGTGTGCATCTGTGTGTGTGTGTGTGTGTGTGTGTGTGTATATATATATATATTTTTTTTTTTTTTTTTTTGTTAACAGGGTCTTGCTCTGTCGCTCAGGTATATCAAGGCTCACTGTAACCTGGACCTCCTGGGCTGAAGTGACCTTGACCACCTCAGCTTCCCAAGTAGCTGGGACTACAGGCACATGCCACCACACCAGGCTAATTTTTTCTTTCTTCTGTAAAGACGGGGTGGTCTCACTATGCTGCCTAGGCCAGTTTTGAACTCCTATCTTCAAGCCATCTGCCCTCCTCAGCCTCTTACAGTGCTGCAATTACAGGTGTGGGCCACCAAGTACAGCAAAAATGTATATTTCCAAATAAATATTTAGATCCTACCATTCAGATAAACTATTTCCAGCAGTCAAATCTCCCATGTATACTCTTCCTTAATTCTACTTCCATTTTTCATTTATTACAAAAACTGATATTTCAATGTTTCTCAAAATCAGGTTTGTTTTGTTTTTTTGAGAGAGGTCTCGCTCTGTTACCCAGGCTGGAGTGCAACATGGCTAACTATAGCCTCAAACTTCTAAACTCAAGTGATCCTCCCACTTCAGCCACCCCAGTAGGTGAAACTAGAGGCACAGGCCACCATGTCTGGCTAAGTGCTTTCTATTTTTCTGTAGAGATGAGAATCGGGGTGATCTCACTATGTCGCCCAGGTTGGTCTTGAACTCCTAGCCTCAAGTGATCCTTCCACTCAGCCTCCCAAAACAAAGATTATGGGCATGAGAAAGTTAATTTTATTCTAACCTGGAATGTCTTCAAGAGTCAGTGAAAGTGCTGCAGAGATAGCTACATGATAACATGATCTGAGAAGAAATTAAGACTGGAGACCCTGTTATTAAGCATATATTGTAGGCCAAGAGGGGAATCATGTGCAATTAATAAACACCATCCTGTGAGTTCTTATTGTCATGGAAAGGAAAAAAAAAATTTCTGGGATGTAAAACATTACTCAATCAACAGATCTTTTCATCAGAGAGCACCAAGGCCCCCTAAACAACAGTAGAACATTTTTTTGGCCAGACAAGGTGGCTCACACAGATAATTCCAAAATTTTGGGAGGCCCAGATCAGTGGATTACTTGAGGTCACGAGTTCAAGCCCAGCCTGGCCAACAT